CTGGAGTTGGTCTGAAATACTCATTTAAGCATTTAACTCACCTGCTTTAAAACAGTTAATGACTCTGATGCCTACAAAATAAAGTTCCAATTTCATAGTGTCTTAGTCTGCTCTGGCTGCCATAACAAAATGCTATAGACTGGAATTCTGAGTATGCCAGATATACCAGCGTGGTCGGTTTCTGTTGAGAGTTCTCTTCCTGGCTTGTAGATGGCTCTCTTCTTGCTGAGCACACACATGGCTGGGAGAGAGAGCAAGCACAACAAGCTCTCTGGTGTCGCTTGGTATAAGGCACTAATATTATCATGAGGGCCCCACCTTGTGAACTCATCTGTACCTAATTACCTCCCAAAGGCTCCATCTCCAAATACCATCACACTGGGGGTTAGGGCTTCAACATATGAATTTAGGGGGGAAACAATTCAGTCCATAGCATATGGTATGACATTCAAGGGCTTTTACAGCTAGCTCTAAGTTGCCTATTCTGTTATTATTCCATGCCAGTGCATTCTGGGGCTACAAGAACATCACAAACAGCTCTCAAAACACATCATGTACTTTCATCGCACTATGCCTTTGTTTATGCTGTTCACTCCACTCAGACAGCTTTCCTTCCCTGACATACTATTATGTCCTTCAAATGTCCAGGTCAAATGCCAACTGTTGAGAAGTTGGCTTGGACTTCCTCCTCATTGTGCCCTTATCACTTTGCACCTACTTCTATCAAATTCAAATTGCCTGGGTTTAACCTGTCATTCGGCCAGGTTTAAATGTGTGACCTTAAGCAAGTTACTTAACTTCTTTGTGCTTCAGGAACCTCATTTGTAAAATGGGGATAATAGCACTTATTTCATGGGGTTGGTGTGAGGATTAATGAGTCACTAAGTGCCAAGGTCTTTGAGAAATGCCTGGCACATAGTAAGCATTATATAAACTATTTGCTATTATTATTATATCATGTTGAGTGAAAACAATCAGGATAAAAACTTTTATTCATAGACTGTAAATGTAGAGAAAGGGTTCCACTATGTCACTCTGGTGACTTTGCTCTATCCACATAGACCACATAGGAAAGGCTCAGTTGCAATCTGCCCCAGGTCTTGGCAGAACATCTGGTGATCCTCCTAGAACACAGGAGGAGAGGCAGTCTTGTGAGAAGCTGCCTCAAGGCTGTTAATTATCTGTCTTTCTGCCTTGTGGGAGGCCCCCTATCTTGAGGGAAGTTGCCATGAGGCAGTTTCTCATCCTTTTCCCTGGTTCCAGTAAGGCATAGAACTTTCTGCCTCCCTCCCCTTGGGTATAGATGCAGACTACACAATAGCAGTCTGGAGCTGGTCTTCAGCAAGAGTGTCCCACTGCTCATGTCGTCTGTCATCTAGTCCCTTTAGTTCAGTGTCATCCTATGGGGCAAAGGGACACCAGGAGCTGATACCATGATGATCTTGTCTTTGCTGTCTATGTATGTAATACACTGTATCCATTTGGGCTCATTGTTTCCCTTTTGGATGGATCTATAAAAGTCTGTGCTGTTGCTTATGGGTGGCTTCATATCTTGATAGTAAGCTCTTTGAAAGGAGAAGCTTATCTATTTTGTTTAACACTATATATATATCAAGTATCTGGCCTATAGTAAGTGCTCAGTATTTGTTGAATTTTAAAAATCATAGTAAACAATGATAAATATGTATTTAAGGATATATGGTCGAGGATATATCAAACCCATTATAGTGGGAACCTTGTGAGGAGGGATGGAGAGTATAGAGGATGAAAGAGAAAATAAAACAAAACAAAACAAGACAGGGCACTCTACTCATGAGGTTTAAAGAAAAACATATACATGTCACTTAAGAGGCAAAGCGTCTAGCTCTCTTATTATTCTTTCATTAATTTATATAGTATTTGATGCCTTGTAAGCTTGACCTTATTTTTTCAACTGTCATATAAGAAGGAAAAGCTAGATCAGCATCTTTTAAACTGCGTTCCAAGGAGCCTCTTCTCCTAGGAGCTGCCTCATGCATGGGTGGTAGTACCCTTTTAACCAAGGCAGTGCTACTTATGTGTTTTATATGTTAGCCTTGCTCATAAAATTTTGCTTGAAGAAAAGGGTTGGCAGCTAAAAACGAAACACAGCAAACCTGCAAACCACTGGCTTAGTTCTCCTTTTAAAATTAATATACAGCATGATGACTCTAGTTAATAATACTCTATTGAGTACTAGGAATTTTCTAAGAGTAGATTTCATGTGCTCTCACCACACACACACACAAATGCTAATTATGTGCAGATGATATGTTAATGAGCTTGATAGTAGTAATCATTTCACTAGATATATGCATATCAAGTCATCATGTTGTACACTTTAAATATACATAATTTTTATTAAAAAAATAAAATGCCAAATATAGATGAAGGCAAGGGAAGCTCAGTAGCTGCCAACTCAGGAGTAGAGCAGCAGGCAGAGAATTTGAATAATGGAGCTCTTCAGGTTGTGGTTAGGAAAGAATAGAAGGTTTGCCAAAGACATATATATTCCTAACTCAGAATTATGTTTAGGAAAACCACTTTGATTGAGGACTAATAAATGTTGCTTTCTTATTTGGAGTCTGGGGAGGATGAAGGAAAGGGTGGTCTTTGTGGATTTTTAAACTCCAAATCACTCTTTACACTTAAGCTAATTGTTTGTGCTTCTAGTATGCAGAGGTATTTTTCTTTAAGTCTCTGGGTTGGATTATTACTTACAGACCAGGTCCAGTGCCCAAATAACATCATTTAGCTAATTCTAAGATGCCACGTTTCCCCTATTTTAATGTTTCTGATATGGGAATGCATCTCACAATCAATGCATACGTTTAATGCAGTCGTACTCCTATTTTTCCTTTGTTATAAAATGGCACATCTACAGTTTGATGATGTCTTAGATTTGAGAAAATGCCATATTATCAACAGAAATAATAAGCTTCTAAATTTAAGCAAAAAATACTTGATATGGGGTCAACAACGTGTTTAGTTAGAATTTTACCAGAGGGGTTATGCAGTGATAATGGATGTCATCATTAATATGCCTACAGGATAAAATTCAAGCTACAAATCAGGGCTTTTTTTTCTTTTTTGAGAGTCAGTTTACAAGTATACCAGGGCCAACAATTACTCTTTATTTTCCAAATAAGCCATGTTAGTTCATGCCTGGGTACTTTTCCACCCTTACCTCTGCTTGGAATGCCTTTCTTGGAATGTTGTCAACTGGAGAAATCCTGTCCAACCAGCATTGATCCCTTTCTGCTTTATGTCACTATGTACCTGGTATATGCCTCTAAATATGCACTGACTATACTGAACTGCAATGATTTCTTAGGTGTTCATCTCCTTTATTGCAAATTCCTTGAGGGTAGTTAACTGTTTCTTATTTATCTCTGTATCCCTAGTACTTAGGACAGTACCTGGTACACAATAGTACTCACTAAATATTTAAAGATTGAATATATGAAGAAAAATAGCAGTATACATGAGGTAAAGTGCCAAAGCACTGAAAAATACTTCATTTGCTGCTGCCATTCAGTGGTGTCCATGCCTTATCCAAACTCTCTGAACTCTTGGTAGACTTAAAATTGTCAACACTGAGTTTAATTGTTAATAATAAAATGAGCTCATTTATGTTAGTTCTGTCTCCCCAATCAATTATAAATTTATTAGAGGGAGGAATTAAGTCTCCTGTATATACTTGCTGAGTTTTAGATGAATTCTATCTTCCTACTCTGAGGTATGATTTAGTTTTCAAGATTCTTTATTCAAGATACCTTTTTTATTAAGATGAGTAGCAATCTGCATGAGGGAAATGGAAAGGCTCACAGTTTTGTTTATTTAGGACCTGAATTTCTCCAGAGTTTAGAGCAATCCTCAACACTAGGTATCAGAAACATATTTTTACAGTAATTTAGGAGAGAGGAGTTTGAATATCACTGGTAAAACCTTGGGAGCTAATTATTTCAAGATCACTTGAAACTTTAACTCATTAGAGTCTCAAAAATCTCCTGCGGTACTTAAAGTCACTATTCCCATTATGTTATTTGATTAATTGAGTATCTTAGTTTTGCTAATAAGAGAAAACCTGAAGTTCACACAGAAGACAGACTCCATTTATCATGTGCTTAAGGAAAAAACATTAAGCATCTCCTATGCGCAGCTCAGAGCTCTAAACTGTAGAGTATTGTAAGACAGGGAGGGGATAAAATAGATGCATGGACCTTGACCTCAAAAAATAAATTCTCAACATACAACTGTACTGTTGTATGTTGCCAAAATGAGATGCATTCTACATTCTTGGGTAGGCTCAGACTTTTCAATAAGATCATTATGAGGCTCAAATAAGCAAAAGTAAGGTGGTTTCATTGTTATCACTGGTGTTGCTATCGTTATTATGCACAGTGACTTGGCAAAGAATGCTCTCCAACATGCTGTAGTGTCATTCAGATGAGGGAACCAAGTAACATTTTAGATGTCTTTTTAGAGTTTTAAGTCAGAAGTTCAGACCCAAAATTAAGAAAAATATCCCCTTTTAAATCCCCCAATGTAAGCTGAGTCATTAAAAGAAATATAAATATGAGATGAGACAGATGCAGGAAAGGAAATATTTCATTCTGATTGCCTGCCAACTGATCAGAAGTTAATAGCCAATCAGATGACATGCATGGGACAGAACTAGGGTGAAAGAAAATTTAGTACAATTGGACTGGGCAGTTTTGATAAGACCAGAAATAGTGTATTATGTCATGTGATTCTATTATGTTTATTTGTAAATCTTATCCACGTGTGTAAACTTAGTTTGTTTTTACATGTTTACCAAGTTTAAATTGCTTATCCCATTATTCCCTTAGTATCTGAAACACAGCAACTACTATTTTTTGAAGAGTTTACAGCATTGCCTATATGATATATTATATAGCAAATGTCAGTTAATTTAGTTGTAATGGTCATATGAAATGGGGAAGAAGAGAGAGGCTTACCACTAGCTCGTCACAACATGCTGTTGAAGAGTCCTTTCTCGAAAATCCGAGGTATACATTCTCAGTTCCCACCTGCTGTTTGAATATAATCTCAAACCTGAAAGAAAAGAAAGTCAGTGATAGATTGAAATGAAAAAGCATTTTCTTGTCACAGAGCAGAAAACTAGGAATTTATGGGGACATGCTATTACAAAAAATAAAAGGGCCAAATAAATAAACTACTGGCAGTTTTTCAGGCATGTAGCAGAACACAAAGGAATAGGAATTCAGTCAAAAATACCTAATACTGTAATTATATTGTCTATACTTCTTTTCTAAGAATAAAGTATACCTATTTTGAGCTATACAAATAAAATGGATTGGGGGAACTTCTAATAAGATTCTAATAAGATTAAAAGCAGAAAAAAAAGGAAGGTCCTTTTCTGAAAAACAGTGACTCAGAAGAATAGTGGGCTCATAACCCAGGGTTTGTTTGATGAATAACTCTCCTCTGCTGAATTTAAGCCACAGAATAGAGTTAGAAAATCCAAGTTTAGTACTGTTTTTATCACTGACTGTGTGACCTTGGTCAAGTCACAGACTCATGGTGTCTTGGCTTCCATATCTGCACAATGTATGGGAGGGTGTAGGTTTGAACTAAATGATATCTATGGTCTTTTTCACCAGTAAGATTCTGCATATAGAAATACTGGTAATGCAGTTAGCACAGTTACAGTGTTTAGAATCTAGTCTGACAGAATTCTCAGTTCAATGAAAAACCCCTGGTATTTCTCCTCACCCATGATAATTCACAAATCTTTCCTTGCTCCCAAATGTGGGCCCCTAAGGATAGAATGGTTTATAGAAGCACCCAGCCATAATGTACCCTGTCTTTTTGGGTGGAATGAAGTAAGCAAACATTTACAAATGATCCTTTCTATTTAATTCCACCCTAATGAAGAAATAGCAAATCTCTGGATAGGAAGACTGAAAGACTACATTGAACTTCTGACCACTTGCAAACAGGAATACCCAGGAATGAAAAAGGGATTTCTTTTGAGTTTGAACAGGACTGACAATAAGTAGCTATTAGATATTGGCCACTTTTTTCTCAATACACTATAGCATCTACCAGGTATTAACAAAGGTGAAGCCAGGTTAAAACAAAACCGAAAAGTATTGGTCCATAATCCCATGACTCCCAAATGGATTTGCTCTAGATGCTGTTCTTTGCCTCATCTCCAGATGCGATTTTCCAACTGCCTACTATATACGTTTGCCTGGATATCCCAAAGGCACCTCGTGGCCCACACTTCCAAAACCAAACTCACTGCTTCCTGTGGCTTATGTTCCCAACTGCAGTTAATGGCTTCATTATTCACCCAGTCACCCAAGCTGGTAACCTCGACATCATTGATACTTTCCTCTCATTCATTATATCTAATCAAATGCCAAATCTTCCTTGAAAACTCTCTTGGATAAAGACCCTCATACTTCTCCTCGAGATCAGTGACTTAGCTCAGGCCCTTATTATTTTTTATTTGGCCACTTGTGATTCTTTTGTGGACAGCCTATTCACATTCCTTACCCATTGCAACATTTTAAAATGTATTTGCATAAAATAAAGATTTAAAAAGTCTTATAAAAGCAATTTTCTTCATACCCTGGAGTTCTTAATTGTTTAAAGCTTTTGTAGATGTTCTTTCTACAGAACATCAAACATCAGGATGAAAAATGAAAATTTACTCAAATTTGGAGCTTGCCACATATGGATATTTGACATTCATTATACAATATGACAAATGAGTGACTTAATTCTTACCTTTCATATGGATGTGGGGCATTGTATAAACATAACCTAAGATTACTCTCTTCATTCTTAAGATGCAGACAGAAATGTTTTAAAATCCCCTTTTATTTTTTTAATGAATTTTATGGTTTTTTGACATTGTTTATTTGAAAGCTGGATACTTTTTTCCAGTTAATTATCCGCAGTCTCCCACTGATTGATTCTATTTTCAGAACTGATGTAGAAGGCAGAAGCATGGATTTTTTTAAAGCATTGGACACAGTTTCACAGTCAGAATTAGAAAAACTGTCGGATCACTTGCCACAGAACTCTTCAAGAATTTATAAAGTACATAGTTAAGTAAATATTGCCTTTATATTTGAATGCTGAAATTATGTTTATATTAAATCTAAATTTAATATATATTTAATATACATAACAATGTATATATGTTAAAGAATAGCTTTAAATATATGCTATTCTAGATATTCAATCAAGATTTTATTTTAAAATACACATATTAAAGCTTAGTGTAGTTAACCATTAATTTCAACTATATATGTAAACATACTTTACATTCTTAGAAGTATGAGTGATTTATTTTATCAGAATGAAAGGTTTTTTATGATAATAATTTAAAATTTGATATTTATAATTCCTATTGAGAAAGCTACAAAGCAAGGCTTCAATCCTGCTTGCAAAATATACTAAACATAAGGCTAAAATAGTAACAAGTCCAGGTAATAATTGATAATTGGAGTGGAAACAGCTTTCTACTGAAATTGGGGAACATTAAGTAATTAAAGGCAGATATTTGACACATAAACATGTTATAATAATTTAGTTTGTATGAATGCTTGTAATTTAATGGTAAGTTTTTTCCCACTGTTAATTCTACATAATACACCTGACATTAAATATAAATTTATAATGGAAATGACAGTATTTTTCATTTCCTGTTAGATAATAACTGAAAGGAAGGTGTTAGGTTTTATTATTTGTTTCTGCTCTACAAGGGAAAAAATCATCAATTACACATGCCTTCTGTGTGTCACTTTAGTTTAATTTTTTATGTGGAAGAAGTAAATTTATGAATCTTGTCAAAAATAGAATAGTATCAGAGGACACACCTAACTTAACCCTCTAAACATTCCTGGCGTCATCTGACTTACTCGGGTAGTTCTCTAACATCCCATATGTCATCGTGCTCTTCCCCCTCTGGAACTTCTCCTGGGTTCCAGATGTCCTTGTTATTTTCATCATCGGTTTTAAGGTTGGCTGTGAAGAAAGGGAAGATCAAGCTGAACCTGTTGCCTGTTTCCCCCCTCAGAATTGCTCCTGTTCTTCCTCACACTCAATTTGGGATCACTGAAGTAAAGCATTTCTATCTGTAACCACTGGCTTGCTTTTTGGTCAAAACAAACTAAATTAGTAACAACTGACTTGAAAATTTTCAATCAATACACAAGCAATACATTGTAGAATTGCAGTAATAATTGTAGAAAATTTGGAAAAGACATATAAACAAAAAGAAGAAATAAAATAATCTACAATCTAACTACCTGGAGATTACCAATGATAGCATTCTGGTGTATGTCTTTCCAATCTCTCTCTCTCACTCTCTCTCTATATGTATATGTGCATATATACACACACACACATATATAACATATATAAATATTTAATATGTAAAATAACATCACATATAAAGTATATATTATATATAACACATATATGTAAAGAAATACACATATTTTCAGAAACACACATAGGATCACATATAAAATATCTATATAAAATAACAAATCAAACATAGAATCAATATGGTTTGGGTAGAAGTGTCTTGTCTTGCATTGTGTTTTACTATATGGAAAGTCTTTGATACCTTTTCCATGCAAGCAGGACATAATTCTTAAAAAATACTATCAGTTAAAGAAACTGAAAACAGTAGATACAATGATCATTTTTTAATCCAGTATTTTCCTCATGTAGATGTGAGCTTTAAAGAAAATCTCTCACTTGTCTTTTATGTGGACTGAACATGTGCCTGGATTTCTACATGTTATCTTTAAATGTTTAAAAGTAGATTAGGGATGTAAAAATCCAGCTTACAATTGTTTGACTATTGGGACAGCAAATGGAGACCCACATTAGGTACAGAACATTATTTTAAGTCTTTTTAAGCATCCCCAGAGACGCACCCGGCTGGAAGGTTTTCAGTTCTGTCAATTCTTTCAAAATTATCTGCTTCTACCTAGTATGGGTTTTGTAAAGTCTAATTACAGATTTATATGTAACATTTTATATATGACTCATTGTTCTCAGAATTTAGAGTTTATTAGATCTACATTATCAGAAATACAGGCAGCACAGAGATACATCCAAATTTGAACTAGTCTTCCATGCAGTGAATGTCTCTTGAATAAGGCAAATAGACTCCTGAGTATGTAGAGCAATAACTGAAATTTTTAAACGACCCCCAGACCTCTTTTTAGCCATTACTTTAAACATTTTTCCAGATAAAACCTTTTACAGTTAGCTAAGTTGATGAAGGAACTTCACTTCCTTTCTCTGCCTACCCTCTGTTAATTGTGACCATGATGACTGATGGAACTGGAGCCTTCTATATTTTTAAAGATGTGTAAAATGTTCGACTCTGTGAAAATGTATAAGCCAAAATGCTGGGAAAACACCCCCCAAAATATTTGCTCTTGTTTACTGGATGTGTGACTATATAAGTCATCACATGGGCTTTAATTTATAAGCATTTCAATATAAGATAAAATTTCATAATTTTTTATTTTGGTGTGGTCTGCAAAAACTATAAGCTCAAAGGGGACAGAAACCACCTTTATTTTGATTTTCATCATAGTCTCAGGGATGATCATATTGCCTGATATATAATAGGCTTTCAATATTTACTGAATTAATGAATTAATTCTGTGAAATTGCCAGAATATAGCAGGGTAGATAGTGAAGAAGCTAAGCACCTTGGTAACTAGACCCTAAGTAATAAAAAAGTTATTTAACCATACATGATTTTCTTGGTCTTCTCTCTCAGGAAATATGCCAAAAAATGTGAATAATTCAAGGCAAATTAATTTCCATTACTAGAAAAATTACTTACTGCAACATTAGAGTAAAAGCAGCATCTTTATATGTAAATGGCTGTTCATGATTTCCTCAACCATTTGAATTCACCTTTAATGTGTTAATGTTAGTATTACTCGCCCTATAATTTTACTCCCAAAGAAAAGATTATAGTAATTATATTGATCTATATACTTTATTAAGTAAATGCTTTATTACCTGTGACAGTTTCTATTTTTGGTGGTCCAATATTCCCAGGACCCATGGCTCCAACAGCAGATGAGCAATGTGCCTGGGAGAGAAGAAAAAAAGCCCAATATTCTGTAATTACACATGTATATTTATATGACCAATAATACTTTAAATTTGACAAGCTTTCCATCTAAAATTTCATAGCACTTCCTACTTTAATTACTGATCATTATTATACAACAGAGAGACAGATGTCAAGTATTATTTTGAATGTGTTTTCCTTGTCCTTTCAAAAAAATTATTTGGTTTAATAGACCCTAAGGCACAATTGGTCTTTGATCAGACTAAATCCCCAGTTCCAGCACAGTGAATCATGTATTTCTGGGGATGGGGGAATGAGCCACATTAATCTCTTTGAAGGTTAGAACCAAGTTTTAGGGTAAGGGCATTGACACCTTTGGGCTTTGAGAGTGTGTGGTCATAGTCAGATGGGGGAAAGTTTGGGAAAGTATAGGTAAGTTTTATAGAAGTAAATACAAACCACTAAATAAAATCTAAATTTTTAGACATCAAGTAGTTCATTCAAAATTCCTGGTAACAGCTTTTCCTTCTTTCCACTGAGTGTGAGTCACTTCCTCATCCTACCACCTTATGACACTGAACTAGCAGATTTAAACAGCAACTCCAAATTAACAGTGTCATATACATACTGAATGACTTTAGTTTTCATACAAGTTCAAATTTATTTTGCCATCTTCTGCACAGGATTGCCCCCAACTCACCACTACAGGAAGAGTTTTCCCTTTTCCAACTAAGAATTACACATATTACACCATCAGTATAGTGGCAACCTCATTGGTTCCTCTCAGGGGTTCTTTGATACTTCAAGAAAATCCCTATTTTTTACTAATTATTCTTGCTGTCAGACTCTGCAGCTCCAATTCACTCCATTGCTGGCAGTCAAAAAATTGTTACCTCATTGGATCTTGTCAAACAACACCTCTAGCTCTCCTTTCTCAGGTCCCTGCCCCTACCTCCCAAGACTTTAGACATGTATAAAAGTTATAATGTCCTGTTTGGGCAAGAGGAATAATGTCTGTCCTTGAAAGCTGATGGAAAAGCTCACTTGTGTCTTTATTATGCTAAACTATTTCAACAGCTATAAATCAGCAATTAATCTATAACATCTCAACTGAGATTTCTGAGATGGTTAACTGACTATTCCTTTCCTAAAGGTGCTTCAAAAGTGCTCGGTATCCAGTTAAGGTGTTACAGGCATTTTTGTGTGAAAATCCCAAGACAATATTCTGTACCTTTTCTTCTTTTTAATCACTAAGGTCACATGAACTTGTAGTGCTTTTCTTAAGTTATTAATCACCAGAATACTAATAGTCAATCAGGATAAAGCATTTCTTGGGACATGAGGGCCTCTTGTTTTGTTGAGTGCCTCCTTCCATGTAAAATTAAAATCCATAGAAATAAAAATGTAAACATTCTGGACAAAAATTGGTGTGCTGTCTGTGGACAGTGATAATTGGGTTAGTATATCAGAACAGTGGAGGAGTTTCAGTTTATTAACTTAATGAAAATAACTGATTAAAAATAAAAGTTTCAAGTAAAAAGTAAAAAGATGGTTCAGGATAATAAAAACATTAAAAACCATCTGGCAATTATTTTCAATAGGAATATCATTCCAGCCTTTACCATGAATCCACAACCAATTATCTGAGCAATTTATCATTGCAATTCATGCCCTTTGCAATATGTAAGAGAGCTAGAACATCCTTATTACAATATCAGTGAAGAGTGTCTTAAGATCCCCCTATGAGTTTAAAAAACAACAGGCCCTCTCTTCTCAATTGCCTAGATTCTTAACAATTAGTGGTGGGGATACTGTAAATAAACCAATAGTGTATGCTATTGCTCTAATGCTGTTTTCAGAGAGTGTATTTTTAAAAACATCATTCTTGTACTCATTCTGCAGTTCCCAAGATTAATACAAGTTAAAAAATGAAGCCATTCCTCTCCTGGAAAACTTACTAGCTCATTAGAAACATTAATTATTCTCCCACAGTTCTGATACTCCAATTCTATATCCTCTAATGACATCTGTTTCTGCAGTGTTTGAATGACCGATTATCTCAAAACTGCATAATACTGATATACAGAATCATACACTATTATAGTAATTTTCCTCTATAAATTGTACAATTTGGTAAAATGATCCTATTCTCCTAAGCACTCATCTTTCACCTAGAAACACTTCTAAATGCAAATAAACACCTCCATACATAAACACCAAAGGGAATGGGCTTTGTAACCAGGGTAATTTCTTATCTCTGAATCTGTTCCAGTTACAAGTTCCACTTTGGTTTATTCAAAATCACTGTTCCTGAAATACTTAATATGGTTTTTCTATACGGCATAACCCTACCTTTCCTGGGACGTATCAATCAATTTCAGCTAAGGTAGCAAAAATGAGCTTGCCTTCTCAACTTCATTAATACATAGCTCCTAACTTTTTCTCTTATGTCCTGTTTGCTGAATATATTCAATGCTGTTATTAATGTCCCGACATGGCTTTCTTTGTTTGTTCTCTACTAAGACTTTTCCCTGACCAAAGTTCTTCATTCCTTATCTTGGCTCCTGATCCTGACTTAGTTTCCTTTCTATACAAATTTTATTTCCATTGCATGTTTTATTTGATTCTGCCCTGCTTTACCTCAGCTCTTTCTAGAGGGTGGAAGCTCAATCCAGTGCTGATCTGAGCCACTGAATTTACTGCCTATACAGATTATACTTGCTTATCCATACTATGGCAAAAAAAATTTGGGAGGAAGAAAGTGACAGGTATGTTCATGGTAAACTGGTCATAACAACAAAAAACTTCATTTAAAATAATTTTAAAGTAAATTGACATATTCTGTTATAGTATGAGATTTCTACCCCAAATTTTCTTTGCCTCCACACAGGCAGTTTGATAACCAAGGTTCACTGATATCTAAGGAGTAGGAGAATGGAGAGCAGGGGGTTACATAAAAGTATTTTGATTATTCTGAGAATACGGGCAGTGGCTGTGGGGTGGCCGAAGGTCAGTTCACAGAACTCTCTTAACCAAAAAGCCCATCTTGCTACTGCAAGCCTCCTTGGGGTTACCTGTCCTGACTGCAAATGCTAGTCAACTAATTAGATTCCATAGTTCTATCTGAGCATGTACCCGGAAGCCACTTATAGCAGGCTAAAGCTAGTTTGTCACATTATTTGGCTCATAATATTTCCTTTTCCACTTTCCTGTGTAGACCAAAAAAAAAAAAATTAAGGGAACTGGATTTTGGGGGCCAAATTAATACTGTCTAATTGAAATTGTTTTATAGAAATACTCTCTAGGCTTAAAAATCCTAGCTACCACTTGATGCAATGGTTGTCAAGCATTCTTTGACCATAAATATAAATGACAAACATTTTGAAATATGGTTATTGCTACCATAGTTACAGAACTATTTTCCTGTTCAGTGTTCAGGTAGTTTAGAAAAAATGTAATTATGTTTGCTAGAAATGTACTAGAGGTTATACTCTCATGCATAATCAGCTTGGCAACCTCCTGTGAATGTATCAGATGACACAGCCCTGCTCCCACAGCAAGGTTGGAACGAGTTGTTCAAATGCAATTTCACAACTTAGTATGAAGAGAACTAATTCATCTGTAAATACACTACCACCTGTCCAGACTCAAAATCGTCTTCTTCTTTGGGATAAAGCAGGTTAGACAGGGCTTGCAGAGCTTCAGCAGAAGTTGTTTCAGTCTCCATATGTTCAGATCTTGTATTTTCAGATTCCATGTTTTCAGATTCCATATTCTGAGGAAGAAGATAATCAGAAAGAGGTATTTTAGACTTCTATTTTATTTAAGACATGAAGATTTTTTTTCAATTGCCATATCTCCATTCTTTCACTGGGTCACTCCATTATTTCTTATTCTTCCTTGAAAATGCTTGTAAATTCCTTCAGATATACGTATTTCACTGACTCACAGACCTGGGGCAGTAAGTAAACTCAAGTATTTAGCTTGCTTTACTAACACTTTTTGCCTACTCTAACAAGCATTTATTAAACACCTACTATAGTGATTCTCAGGTTACAGCATCCTTCAGAATCATTTGGGAAGTTAGTTAAAAATACAGATTCTTCAGCTCTGTCTCTAGAGAAAGTGTATGTCAGTTTCACATAGAATGTACATTGTTATTTGGAAATGTACTTTCGTAGACTACCTCTTTATCTGCCTCAGGTATACTCTTTAGGCTATATATTCCTAGTGAACTCAAAAGGATGTTTGTTGAGGGATATGTCTCCAGGAACTTAACTCATTTCACATGGTTGCCTCAGGCAGGCCTGTACCTTCTGCTTTACTTAAATTCTTTATCAACTCTTGATGATGCTTAGCATTATATTGAGATGTGAGAACTCTAATGGGTTGGTCATTGACTAGTTAAAGTTTACACAAAATTGCTTTTGATTATAATAGTGATACTATATATGTCTATTGTGGAAATTTTAGGAAATACTGCATTAAAATTATAAATAAGAAAATTACAACTACCAATAATCTTCCCAACCAGACATCACTATTTAAAATAATCTCTACAGTTATATTTGGAGTAGGAATTCAGGATCTTTAAGAGTTTTGGAAGTGTCAGACTTTAATGAATAACCTGAATAAAGACTGTAGAATTAGGTCTATTGTTAGTGATTTGGGCATAAATGTAACAGGAATCTTTTCTATACTTCTGCCGATGTTTTTTAAACATTATTTTTTTTAAATTACCTCACAGGAAATATTTCTTTAGTGCTTTGATTAAATGATCCACTAAAATTTTTGCATTGTGCCTAGAATAGTAATACAAAGGGATTCTCAAATGTGTGCGTGTACAATCACCTGTCAAAATCAATCTGTATGCAAATGGTGTTTTACAAACCTTCTGTTTTATTACATTTTACTATTATTTTGATTTTATTTTTTAAATGTAAAACTGATCTGAATGCTTATCAGAGATGTCAAGAATATGAAACAAATGTTAAATTGCCATGTACATCTAACACAGAGTCAGTATATCATAATGGTTAAGAGTAAGGGCTCTGGGGTCAACTCCCTAGATACGTATCTATCATTTACTTCTGAAATCTGTGACTTTGGGCACATCATTTAAGTTCTCTATATATCATTTTACTTATCTATAAAATGGGAATAATAATAGTGCTACCTCAAGGGGTTGTTAGAAGGATTAAGTAGCTTAAAACATGTAAAAGAACTTAGAACAGTGCTTGGCACATAATAAGCACTCAACATATATTAGCTATTATTGATCCTTTAAAAATTTAATTTTTCTGGGCATGAATAATACTTCTAATAATAATGTCAAATAAGGTAATGATAAAACTCATTACACTGGAAACTCATTAAATTGGAAAAGGTGAAATAAGAGGTTAAAAAACAATCTTCTCTCACAATATGGCCTGCTAATCTGCTATAGAAATGAAGAATTGGCACATTAAATTAAACAAAGAGGCACCTGTTTATATTTTAAAAGTCCCAGTTGATGATGAGTTCGTTAAATATTTACTTAACATCAAAAGCAAAAATTTTATTGAAACATTTTCTGTGTTGAACAACAAAAGGGGAAAATGGGTCCACATATCGGGTGCAATGATGTAAATAGTATTTTGAGTTGAGATTGTACAATGATACTTTTAAAAGACAAATATAGCAGAGATTGTTTAATTATTCCAGTATTACCTACCTTACAAAATTGTTGTGATGGCCATATTATTCAACGTAGGTGAAAGAGCTTGCTAAAATATGAAAAGCTATATAAAAATGTTATTATTTGGCACATAGTGCCAGCTCCCACAGGTACTTGATGATGAGGCTTGTGAGAGCTCAGTGGTGGGCTGGTGAGATGGGAATGAACTGGAACCAGCAGAGCTAACCCAAAAGAAGGGGATTCAGAAGGCCCATATAAGTGTTTGGGGTAGCAATAGGAATTGCTGTTCATGCATTCTCATGTGCTTGGCAGGGCCATGACAGCAGGAGTTTTGAGATATGAGCATTGTTTCAGACCAGAAAGGTTGAATAGTTGTTTTTACAGTGAAGGCTATTTTGGGTGAAGTAGGACTCAGGTCTGTAGCTGAGGTTATAGGAGGCAGGGTGTGGCTCTTAAGGATTGTGAGGGAGTTGGCAGCTAGATGAAGGTTTAGAACAGGGCAGGGCTCAACGTCATAGCTGGAGAAGGGAAAACGGACCAGGCACTGCATCAGATGCTATCTTGCCACCTGGGCAGTCACAGTGAAGTGTAAGAAGGAAGGCTGTGGCACTGTGGGTACACTGGATACTGGATTTAGGGAAAGCAGATTAATTTGAAATCCCCACCATCTGGGAAGCTTCTCTCATTTGGTGAGAGGCCAGTGGGAAGCTATACCTGTAAGCTGAGTATCTTAATAACTGAAGCTGGCATGTATCAGCAGTTGATAAATACTGAATGAAGCATGATTAAATTCATACAAATGTTGTATTTCAAAGTACTCACCTTGGAAGGTGATGTAAATTATGCTATTAATGCTCAAAATATTTTGGAATTGCCTTCATATGTATTACCAAGAAAATAGGTATCATTATGGTATCACTCAATTTGATTATACATCAGATTTGTCTCCAAGTGATTTCTAGATATCTAGAAATCACATTTACTTTCAAAATATGAAGATTTGCTACTTTGAGGATATTCAAAAGAAGGTGCTGTAGACCTCAAGAAAATTCTACAAGAGTAGTTTCACAAGTAATTTGAATAACAGCATTAGAATAAGTAGAGAGCCTCCCAAAGTGACAGCTTTGAGGGGCATGCCATTCGTTGGGATGTATATATTTGAGTATATTTGTTAAACAAATCATTCAAAATAATTTATAGTCTCACTTCATATATCTGAAGCATATTAGAAATTGGACTTCTTAACTACCAAATTATGCTGGCATAAAATGGCATAAATTCATACTTAGCTAGATTGGAGTCAAAATATCATAATAAAATTGGCACTTCGATGAAAATACGTATTACCATATCAACTGTAATAATAATCTGCAAACACAAAATAAATCATTGTTGATACTGCATTTTGAGACACAAAAGAATCACCAATACTTTGCAAATAGATTAACTAAATAATTCAAAATTTCAAAAGAGAAAAACAATAATGTGAAATTTTGGGAAAAATATTCTAAATTCAATGGAGAGCAAAATTCTACTAACTTTTTTAGAAGTCTAACAGATTAAGAATAATTTATTATACTTTCTTAAAAACATACTAACTTCATTTGACACAAATAGATCACAGTGGAAAAACTAAAACAAGATGCTTTTTATGAACTATGCAGTGTTATTTATTTTTAGGGCTATTTTTTATTTGTAAATTAGATATACATTAAGTTCATCTTCAGTCTAGCAATCAAGGTCCTTCAAGATATAACCACAATCTAATTTTCTGCCTTTCTCTCCTATTATTCTCCTACATGTGATCTGCATTCTGTAAAAAACTGAACTACTTTTTAAACATACCCTATAATCTCTCCTGCCTTTGTACCTTGCAATGCATTCTTCCTCTTGCCTATACTAATCAGGTGGCATAATGTAGTGATAAAAAAGTAAAAGCCATTCTGGAGCCACTTTGCCCATGTTTGAATCTGGCATTACCACTTAAATAGGCCAAGAATAAATTTAAGTAAAATTTAAGTAGAGTTTTGTTAAAAACAAAAGATATAGCTAAATCTTTTATTTGAGATTTGGTTATTTAGAAAATAAATTTTCTAGGTCTTTGATTTTTTTTCACTCTCTGGCAGAGACTTTGATTTTACCACATCAACCTGAGCTCTTAGGGCCTTCATAGATATAGGTGTGATTGGGGAGATCTCTCTTGGTACTAGCCACAGTGAGCTGAAGAGACAGACACTATAGAACCACCTCATTACCAAAATACTAGAGCCAGTTAGGAACTAAGCATACTCAACCAGAGTAGCTTGAGACCCATGACACTGAAGCATTATCAGTAACCTAAGATTAAGTCAGACTCTGTGAGGGCTGGGGTCATGCTTTCTATATTCCATTTGCTTCTATTCTTAGTGTCAATAGGGGCACCAAGCCCTGCCCCCCACCACACACAGTTGAAAATCTGTGTGTAACATTTGACCTCCCCCAAATTTAATTACTAACACCCTACTGTTGACTGGAAGCCTCACTGATAAAAAACAGTTGATTGTAATTTTTTTGGGGGGGGGACGGAGCTATTTTGGCCTTTTATTCTTTAAAAAATAATTAGCCTACTTTGCTTACTTTTCCTGCTACATGATTTGTGAAAGAAAAAATTTAGGGCATATAACTTGCTAATATTTTGCCTAAAATTTTACACAATTCTTTTTTTTAATTAAAGTATCATTGATATACAATCTTATGATGGTTTCACTAAAAAACACACTGATTTAAACATTCACCCATATTATCAAGTACTCACCCACTCCATTGCAGTCACTGTCTATCAGCATAGTAAGATGGTTAACACATATTTTGTATATGTATTATATACTGTATTACAATAAACTAAGCTGGAGAAAAGAAAATATTTTTTTAAATGTCACAGATCTCCCCAGATTTTCCAATATATTTATGGAAAAAAATCTACATATAAGTGGATTTGCCCAGCTCAAACCCATATTGTTCAAGGGTCAGCTGTATATATAGTAAACAAAATCAGAGTAACAAAGCAATCTACATAGTCAATGCAATCAATCCTTATCAAAATACCAATGGCATTTTTCACAGAACTAGAGCAAATAAATATAAAATTTGTGTGTAACCACCAAATAACCTGGAAAGATTCCAAATAGCTGAAGTAATCTTGAGAAGGAAGAACAGAACAGGAGGTATCATGCTCATTGATTTCAAGCTATCCTACAAAGCTATAGTAATTAAAACAGCATGTTCCTGGCACAAAAGTAGACACATAGATCAATGGAACAGAAAGAAGAAAGCCCCAAAATAAACCCATACTTAGATGGTCAATTAATATATGACAAAGGAGGCAGGCAAGAATATACAATGGAGAAAAGACAATCTCTTTAATAAGTGGTGTTGAGAAAACTGGACCACTACATGCAAAAGAATGAAACTGGGCTACTGCCTTAGACCATACACAAAAATAAACTTGAGACAAATTGATAAATACCTAAATATAAAATCTGAAACCACAGAATTTCTAAAAGAAAACAGGCAGGAAAATCTTGAGCATTGGCATTAGCAACTTTTTTCTGGCTATGTCTCCCCAGGCAAGAAAAACAAAAGCAAAAGTAAACAAGTTGGACTACATCAAACTAAAAAGCTTCTGCACAGTGAAGGAAACCACGAACAAAATGAAAAGGCAACCTATTGAGTGGGAGAATAGTTGGCAAATGATATATCCAATAAGGGACTATCATCCAAAATATGTAAAGAATTCATACAACTTAATATTTTAAAAAAACCAAAATAATCTGATTATTAGAGAGGCAGAGGACGTGAACAGACGTTTTTCCAAAGAACATACATAGATAGACAACAGACACATGAAAGGATGCTCAACAGATCAGGGAAATGCAAATCAAAACCACAATGAGATATCATCTCACACCGGTCAGAATGGCCAGTCAAGAAATAAGTGTTGCCAAGGACATGGAAAAAAGGGAAACCTTATGTATTATTGGTGGGAATATAAAATAGTGCAGTCATTCTGGAAAACAGTATGGAGGTTTCTCAAAAAATTATAAATAGAAATACCATATGACCCAGGAATTCCACTTCTTGGTATTTACCTGAAGAAAAGATAATCACTAACTCAAAAAGATATATGCACTGCTATATTTATTGCAACATTATTCACAATAGCCAAGACATGGAAGCAACCAAAGTGTCCATCCATAGATGAATGGATAAAAATGATGTGGTACATATACACAATAGAATATTACTCAGCCATAAAAAAGAATGAACTCTTGCCATTCATGACAACACGGATGGAAATAGAAGGTATCGTGCTAAGTGAAATAAGTCAGAGAAAGACAAATAGCATATGATTTCATTTACATGTAGAATCTAAGAAAAATAAATAAGCAAAACAGAAATAGACTCACAAATATGATAATAAACTGGTGATTGCCATGGTTGTGGTGGGAGGTGGGCAAAACAGGTGAAGGTGATAAAGAGGTACAACCTTCCAATTATAAAATAACAGGGATGAAAGTACAGCATAAGGAATATAGTCAATAATATTGTAGTACCTTTGAATGGTGACAGATTATAACTGCACTTATTTTGGTGAGCATGTCATAATGCACATAATTGCTAAATAACTATATTGTACACCTGAAACCCCTATAATACTGTATATCAACTGTACTTCAATAAAAAAATCAAAGTTAATAAAGAATCACCAAATAGTGTCCTTTGGGAGCTTGCTTAATAGGTAAACACATATCCTTATGTAAAGTGCTAACTATAGTTGTATGATTTCAAAGTATTCAAAATCCATGTACTCTCAAATAAATATGGCATTTTCTTCTGCAACTTTATTTACATAATGCCTTATTTAGCAATTCTTGTATTAAAGTTCCTCTGAAAACCCAAAAGTAAATACCATCTCTGCCTGTCTGAATTAAATTATATAGTAGCTAATTGTTTTGTTTTTACATTCTTGACAACTATATACATCAATGATTTGTGCCTATTAAAAAAATAATTCATTTTGATTTTGTCTTTACAATACCGAGAATGATTTCCTTTTTTAGGTCTCTAGCTTTCACTGTCATCAAATGTACCAAATTATTACTATGGGGACAGAGTTTTTGTTACATATTTAAAATATTATTAATAAAAGATGATTTTTGAAAGTACCTGGAAATTTTCATAAAACTAAAGGTCAAGAAATGAGCTTCTTTTGATTTAATAGTTCCTCTATTATTTTTTATTTCACCAAACTGAATATACTTGTCAATAATTTCTGTTTCTGTCTTATACTCTACCTCTATCTAAAAAGGAGTTTAGACAGCAAATTTTCCTTCAGTACTTTGAAATTTTCTCTCAAACAGGCCTGTCTTCTCTATTTCTTCAGGAAATAGTCTCTGTTCTGAATCCTTGTCTCTTAGGAGAAATGACCCCTACCTTTGTGGTCAAACTGTTTTCTCCCCTGACTCAGATTTAGTTGTTGGCACAGTTCCTTACCTGACAGGTAAGGTCTAACGACAGGCTCCCCCCAGCCAGCACTTGGTGAGTGGCAGGTTTGAAAGGTAAAAGTAGTCTTTGTACATTACGTTTTAGGCCACTAAGTGTGGTCTGGTTGCTGCTCAGTCCTCAAGGGATTTGACCAATGTCCGTTGGAACCCTCAGGCCACAGCATTCATGTTCTTGCACACAGGGCATTGCCCACAAGGCAAGAGGCACAAGCCAATTTTTTCAGTCTGAACAGCGTTATACCCCCTAAAAAATATATCTCAACCAAGGCATGCTGATCCAGGATAAATCATACTTGTACATATAAAACAGGTGAAGTGGCTGCTCTAGCTTGGTGCATCCAGATCTACCTATATGGAAACCGTTTTCCACTCTCAAATCAGTGCTACAAATGTTAAGAGTGTGTGAGAGTGGAGAGAAAGGCTTTGGGAAGCCTTCACATGTTCATTTTGTTCTGACAATTGATCAGCATCTATCTCCTTTATGGCAAAACTTTCCTGTCTCTCACATCCTGATAGACTGAGTTTTGTGAAAGCTGCGTCCTGCTTTTAGTGTCTAGAGCAGCCGTACTTAGGGAACAAGTCTGTTCTATATTCAACTTTTGGCTTTTTGGGGTATCTCTGAGTCGTATTTCGAGTTATCCCTAGTTTTTCTAGTACCAGGGCATCTGAGGACCCCTTCATTCCCCATCCTAAGGTTCGGGTTTCCTCACCTGGGTAAATTTTCAGGTGGCTGACTGGACTCCCGAAAATAGACCTGCGGTTAGCTGCGCGTCTCTCTGTTGCCTGAGTAACAAGTTTGTTCCCGCCCCCACCCCCTCCGGCTTCCCGCTTGAGTCTCCTGGCCAATCATAGAAGTCTCCTTTGAAAGAACGCCAGAATCAACCAATCCGAGAGCGTGCCAGTCGGGGTCAAAGACTACTCTTCTCATTTAACTAGGTCGACCCCTGCTAAGCCTCGGACGGGGTCAGTCACTTCAGCGAACCTCTTCGCTGTAGAAGTCGACTCTTTCCGGCGCAAGCCGGCCCTGCACTGCCTCTGTGGTCGCTACGCCGTCTCGGAAGCTCACCTGTTTACTTTTGCGGTTCTGACAGCGAGCGGCCGCGGCGGCTCCGCTGAGGTAAGTTTGTGGGGCTTTCCGTTGGTCTCGGTCGTCAGGAAGCTCGTTCATCTTTACTCTTTTCCCTCACGTGAATTTCAGGTCGGACGACTTCTTTCGCGGATCCGGAGCAGGGGGAGCGGTAGTGAGGGCTCGGTCGCCCCGGGATTTGGCAGGTTTGGGTGCTGCTCTCCACGCAGTCCCCACGCCTCCTCCCCACCCGGCGACCTGGCTCAGCTTGTGTGTGTATGCGTCCGGCTTAGGGGGAGTATTTGAGATCGCCCCCTTTTCCCCCCTGCGTGTAGGGTGGGATTTCAGCAACTGTGTGTGTTGTGAGGGGGGTGGGGTACAGGTGGGATCGCGGTCTTTTTCGCTGTGCTGTAGGCAGGGCTTCTGGGCCCCAAAACTCAGTGACATACCCCCTTTCGGCCTGCCGCTCAGCTCCTGGGAAGCATCGGCTCGAGCTGCGCGTCGCTCTCATTCTTGGGACCCTCGCGGCACCCGCCGCCCTGTTTTTCCCGCGTTGGAATGGGCACACGCAGACCCACTGCCCGCTTGCCACAGTTTGGCAATTTGAATTCCATCACTTTATCTGAAGGTACGGTTGTGGCCCTCGAATTCCGTGATTTGGTTTTAAACACAGGGGGAAAATAAGGGATGACTTAATAAATATTTGGAGTTTTCGAAACTTAGCTGTGTTCGATAGCGGTGCTCCGCGTTCATTTTTAAGTGTTGTAAGCAAGGAGAAATAGGATGGCTGTAATGGATGGTTACTTTGGTTACCCGAGAACTGGAATTCGATTGCGAATTAAATAAATTGCTTTCCTTCTTTATGCTATTAAGTTTTTCTTGCTTTTGCCCTACCTGCTGAAGGGGATAGTGAAGCTTGAGTAATTTGTCTGTTTTGCTCATTATTGCTACAGTAAGCAAAAAACGGAGATAGAATGTTTCAGTTACTGGCTGAAGTAAAGCTATTGGCTTTTTGGCCAAATTACCTATACCATAATACACCTTATTACTGTAGATGTCAGAGTTTTAAGTGTATTAAATTTTGTTATTTCTTTAGATATTTGGGGAGCTTAAGTTATATATGCTGTTCTGTCTCTTTGCTATCTTTTTTTGTTTCTGTTCTGCCTTATTGTGCATTAAGTCAGTACAGGCTAGCTAGTGCTTTGCGGACTTTTGTTCGTGATTCACAGTAAAAAATAAATTTTATGTTTATTGTGACCGAGTACATACGTACACAATATATAACTGACAGCCATTTCACAAAATCAGTACTTACTGCATGCAATTTACTCTGATACTTCCATTATACTTCTTAAAATGGAGACCACTAATAAATTGTCATTTGCAGCTTGAAAAACACTGGCCTTAGACCTTTGGTTTTCAAACTTGTGTGTGTTTAGGAATCATTTAGGATGTTTGTTTCAATAGTAGACTCACTCCAGGGAACTGGTTCTGTGGGCCCTGGAAGGTGGTTCATATAGCTATATGAATTTCTTGATAAAGTACCAGATGCACAGGTATTCAATAAATAATAGTTTTCTTCTTGGAGTACAAGTGCTGTTAATCTTTAGGAATATAATCACTTCTTCAAAGTTTGGCCTGCCCGTAGCAAGGTGGAATACAATGCTAAGCTCTGTTTTCCCCAGGGTTGAGTAAGTAGGACAGTAGGGGATGGGTCCTAGATCTGAAATGAATTTTCAAGCACTTGACTTCTATGGAGAGATTTATAAATACAGAAATTCAGGGGGTTGAAGAACATACAAATTAGAGGGGTTCAGTTATTTGCTCAGGGTCATGTTTCAGTGAGTGGCTTTCAGGGATAGGAATCACTTGATTAAATCTAACATTCTTGTCCTTTATGTCATGATAGCAGGTCAGGTCTACAGGCACAAGTTGAAACAGAAGGAGAGCTTCCCTGACTTGCCCATCCAGAAGCAGAGGCAACAGAATTTCTGGCTTTTGACTGCTAGTTTGGTTCTAATGTAAATGAAACTTGAGAGATCTAAAAAGATTTTAAAAAATACAGCTAAAAGCTTCTGTGAGTTATAGCTATGAAAAAGAGATGTAGTTTAGCTATTCTTTTATAATATATAAACTGTTTTAAAATACTAGTTAAATAATTTATTAAACCAGTGTTAAAAGAAATTGAAGGTGAAAAATTTCCTTCAATTCTACTACCAAAATAAAATTGCTGTTTCTGTTCCCCTATTTTATCCATATATACCTATATTTCTCCATAATCTTAATCCTTATTTATTTTTGTTTGTTTATTTTTTGTTTATTTAATAATATTCTGGAAATTTTTCTATGTTGTTGAGTCTTCATATTTTTATTTTTCATAGCAGCCTAATGTTCCATAGATTGACAATGCCCATAATTTATGCAGCCTAACTAAACCAACAACACAAGATATATTTCTAGTTATTTCATGTTATCAATAACACTGTAAAGTCTTGGTTTTTTAAGATCATTTATATAACTTTATCTTCCATGACACTCAAGAGGAATCCTAGTAGGAAGGCTAGAGACCTGGACCTGAGCTGTTTATGTTTTTGCCCTCCTTGAATGTATAGATTTTCCCATTTAGGTTTCTGTGTGCTTAAACAGTAGTGATCAACCATGATTTCTGTTATGCATATGAGTTAGGTTGAATGTATTTTTTAACCACTAAATATATTTTCAAAATGATTTACTTTTAAAAATATATGAGTCATAGCAGATTCAAGTACCATAATAACACTCATGCTGATTTGTTTTCTTTATGAATATCTTTTCCAAAGCTTATATGACTATGCATTTGTAATTTAAAAATTTTTTATAAAGGAGCCAATTAGCTTGACTGGGAGAATAAAAGCTATAATTGGTCTATATTAGCACATCTCTCTTTTCAAAGCACACATGTTGTCTTATTTTCTGTCATTCTAAAATATTTTGTCCTTCTTTTCAAAATTATAAATTATTTCAAACAGAAAACTACAGAGACTATTATATACCACCATCTATGTACCTACCAAAGATTTAACAATTGTTTTTTGTTGTATTTTCTTTAGACATTATTTTTTAAAGAACTAAAACATTACAGGTACCTCTTTGTACCCCTTCCCAGTCTTATTTCCTTCCCATCCCAGAGATAATTGTTCCTGAAGTTATATATTTTTCCAATCTGTTTTCAAGTGAACTCAAATGTGGATGGCCATACATGATTTGTAATATATTGTTTTGTACGTCCTTTACATTTATATAAATGGTATACTTTACTGTTCTGCAGCTTTTTTGGGTTAACAATGTTTTTGAGATTTATCCATATTGATAAATATAGACAAAGTTGGTTATTTTTTTTTTGGTATCATTAATCTACAGTTACATGAGGAACATTATGTTTATAGACTCCCCCCATCATCAAGTCCCCACCACATACCCCATTACAGTCACTGTCCATCAGCATAGTAAGATGCTATAGAATCACTGTCTTCTCTGTGTTGTACAACCCTCCCCATGCCCCCCCACATGTGTCTGCTAATAGTAATGCCCCCACCTTTTTTCCCCCCTTGTCCTTCCCTTCCCACCCATCCTCCCCAGTCCCTTTCCCTTTGGTAACTGTTAGTCCATTCTTGGGTTCTGTGAGTCTACTGCTGTTTTGTTCCTTCAGTTTTTTCTTTGTTCTTATACTCTACAGATAAGTGAAATCATTTGGTACTTGTCTTTTTCCACCTGGCTTATTTCACTGAGCATAATACCCTCTAACTCCATCCATGTTGTTGCAAATGGTAGGATTTGTTTTCTTCTTATGGCTGAATAATATTCCATTGTGTATATGTACCACATCTTCTTTATCCATTCATCTACTGATGGACACTTAGGTTGCTTCCATTTCTTGGCTATTGTAAATAGTGCTGCAATAAACATAGGTAGGGGTGCATATGTCTTTTTCAATCTGAGAACTTGCTTTCTTAGTGTAAATTCCTAGGAGTGGAATTCCTGGGTCAAATGGTATTTCTATTTTCATATTTTTGAGGAACCTCCATACTGCTTTCCACAATGGTTGAACTAATTTCCATTCCCACCAGCAGTGTAGGAGGGTTCCCCTTTCTCCACAACCTCGCCAACATTTGTTGTTGTTTGCTTTTGGATGGTGGCCATCCTTACTGGTGAGGTAATATGTCATTGTGGTTTTAATTTGCATTTCTCTGATGATTACCGATGTGGAGCATCTTTTCATGTGCCTGTTGACCATCTGAATTTCTTCTTTGGAAAAGTGTCTGTTCAGATCCTGTGCCCATTTTTTAATTGGCTTATTTGCTTTTTGTTTGTTGAGGTACGTGAGTTCTTTATATATTTTGGATGTCAACCCTTTATCGGATCTGTCATTTACAAATATATTCTCCCATACTGTAGGATGCCTTTTTGTTCTATTGATGGTGTCCTTTGCTGTGCAAAAGCTTTTTAGCTTGATATAGTCCCACTTGTTCATTTTTGCTTTTGTTTTCCTTGCCCGTGGAGATATGTTCATGAAGAAGTTGCTCATGTTTATGTCCAAGAGATTTTTGCCTATGTTTTTTTCTAAGAGTTTTATGGTTTCATGACTTACATTCAAGTCTTTGATCCATTTCCAATTTACTTTTGTGTATGGGGTTAGACAGTGATCCAGTTTCATTCTCTTACATGTAGCTGTCCAGTTTTGCCATCACCAGCTGTTGAAGAGCATGTCATTTCCCCATTGTATGTCCATGGCTCCTTTATCATATATTAATTGACCATATATGTTTGTGTTAATATCTGGACTCTCTATTCTGTTTCACTGGTCTGTGGCTCTGTTCTTGTGCCAGTACCAAATTGTCTTGATTACTGTGGCTTTGTAGTAGAGCTTGAAGTTGGAAAGTGAGATCCCCCCTGCTTTATTCTTCCTTCTCAGGATTGCTTTGGCTATTCGGGGTCTTTTGTCATTCCATATGAATTTTAAAACTATTTGTTCCGGTTCGGTGAAGAATGCTTTTGGTATTTTGATAGGGATT